GTAGTGCTCATCTCTGTTTCAAAGCCGAAGAGCCAGCGCTGTCCGAAGACGTCTCCGTGGTCATGTGGCTGGCATGACTAAACGCCAAAGGCGCACAGAACGCTGTTACCTTCCCACCAAAGGTGGTCCCTATTTTTCTACTTGCATTTTTTATGTGGTTTCGAACTGCTAGGTTGGCAGAAGCTGGGACAAGTAACAGGAGCTCCCCCCATTACGCAGCACTAGGGATTCGAATCGCTGAACTGCCGACCTTTCGATTGACAAGCTCAGTGTCTTAGCCACCGAACCACCATGTCCCATAAGGTGCGTAAGATGTGTTATATACAGTATGAGTTCCTTTTGAATTTAATATGGTTTAAAGTTAAGGACTTGGAACTAAACCCTACTAAATTAAATTGAAAAGATACAGGTATAAGAGGCAATCATTTAGATTTCTGGGAAATCAGTTTTGCTAACATTCCAGATTTACAAATCAAGGCTTTATTTACGACACAGCTAATGTATGTTGTGTTACTAGCTGTACTAGGCTTCTCTGTAGCAGGATGGCACAGATCAGAGAATTGTGTTATATTGATTGTTAATACTCAAAGGAAATAGAGACAAATAAGCAAAATAGATTAAAATTGTAAAACTGAATAATTTAAAAACTGCTGTGCATCTAATTTTCCTCAAAGTAACTTTCCCAAAGTGGGATTACATGTAACAATTCAAGTGTTACAATACTGAGCTCCAAGTTCTACTTTAATAATATAAATAAAAAGAACACCGAGCTGTAAGATATCTAGTTATGCATTTCCTTTATATTAGATAAGTTTTTTTTAAAAAAAAAACCTATAAAAGATTAAAAATAGGTAAAAATCCCCGGAGAGCAGTTGTTCCTGTATATCTCACTTCACTTTGCTTTTCTGCCTCTTATGAAAGGAGTGTGCGTACCCAGATAATAGGTAGTCATTACAATTATGTATTCAAGTTCCTATATATGATATGATAAAGGTCGAGTGCCATTTAAAAAAAAATGCATTTGATGAGCATAGCTAAAGTCACAAAAAATCTAGTTTGTCAGAAATGCATTTCGCGTCACCTGAGATTTGCTCATTTTTCTTACATAGCAAGAGATAGTTATGGTCAAGACAGAAATCCCAAGGCAGGAAGAACTGTAATATTCACGGCTGGATCAAAGAATCAAGACAGTAGTGCAAAGCAATACCAGCAACTACAGGGCTGATCCTGCTAATTTGAACTACAGTGACAAGTTATTAAAACTACAAATCAGTTCCGAGGCCAGAGCGTCTCACAATTTATCAGAGACTAGTCTGTGGAATCTGCAGATGATTATTATGGGTTAGGTCTCCTAGCAAGGTAAAGCTTGTAATGCTTGGCTATGTGGGAATATTGCAAGTAAGATCTATAGAGCTTCCTCCTCCAGGTTATTAGCATTTATTTTTTTAATTGAATGCCCCACTGTAGCCAAAGAGACTCAAAATAATAGTAAATGAAACGACAGATCAGCTTCTGCAGAGCATTTTATAAACAGATGCACTGGAGACAAAAGACATCCAGTTTATCTCAGAGAATAACAGAATTGGATGGGACCTTGGGAGGTTTTCTACTCCAACCCCCTCAGGTTGGGAGACCCATACCATTTCAGACAAATAGTTGTCTAATCTCTTCTTAAAATCTTCCAATGTTGGAGCATTCACAACTTCTGGAGGCAAATTGTTCCATTGATTAATTGTTCTGTCAGGAAACTTCTCCTTAGTAAAGTTGCTTCTCTCCTTGATTAGTGTTCTTCTCTCCCATTGCTTCGTGTTCTACCCTCAGGTCCTTTGGAGCAGTGGTCCCCAACCCCCGGTCCGTGGACCGGTGCCGGGCCGTGGAGTACCTGGCACCGGGCCGCGCAGCGGCCGGGGGACATGAACGCTGCAGCGCAAAGGCTCCTGGGCCGTGCGCAATGGGCCGTGCGCAAAAGCTCCTGGGCCGTGCCCCCACCCCTGCGCGTGCTCAGCGGGCCGCGGCGATAAAAAGGTTGGGGACCACTGCTTTGGAGAATAGCTTGATAACCTCTTCTTTGTGGCAGCCCCTGAGATATCGGAACACTGCTATCATGTCACCTCTAGTCCTTCTTTTCATTAGACATACCCAATTCCAGCAAAACATTATGTTTTAGCCTTCAGTCCTCTAATTATTTTGGCTGCTTTTCTCTGTACTCAGCATCTTTTCTACATTGTGGTGATCAAAACTGGATGTAAGTGTGGTTTTACCAAGGCATTATAAAGTAGCATTAACACTTCACTTGATCTTGAATCTATCCCACTATTAATGCAGCATAGGAGGAATAGAATAGTAGATAGATTAAAATAGATTAAACTTTTAGATTGTGGGAAAGGTGCTGAATCACCAAAAGTGACAATCTTTACAACTCTCATTAACATTTTAACAGTGTATCCTCAAAACCAGGCAGAAGTACAATTTACTAGTAGGTCAGAAAATAAGAACTCAAGCCCAAATAAAAATGAAGTGATATGGAGTAATTGGTCACCACTATCTATGCCTACCAGAACAAATCACATTCTGGAGCAAACCAATTGGAGTCCAATTATACATAACCTTTGTGGCGGAAGTAAGGCTACAGAGGATCACAGGTAGGACTGGAAAATCACCATTTTCGTTGCCAGCTATGTCTCATCTGTTAGGGTAGTGATGGATGAAGGAACAACCCTTTTGGCTACCTATGTTCTATCCAATATCAGCATTGTGGAGAAAGTAATTTCTGCCAATGACCTCTTTGCTGATAATAACTAAATGTAATTGGTGGCATCCTGCCATTGTTCTGATAGGAAATTTCTTTCATGGTGAAATTTGTAGTTGGAGGAGATGGCTTTCATCTAATTTGTTCGCAAGTGATGGATGACATTCCTTATAAGGATTAAATCTAAAGCCTGCCAGCAAAACGTTCTTATAGTTATCAACCAGGAAAATTTTATTTATCCAAATGTTTTAGTTCCATCATTTGAGAAACAGAAGTTCTAAGTCCACTTTTGGAAAGGAAGTTCCCAAAAGAACCAAAGTGTGATTTATTTCTGAACAGACATGGGAAAAATCTACCGCTTTATTTCAGTTTGTTCATGCAGCATACAGCAAATTTCCTGAAGTTATTTTCCTAGTTCTGTATCTCCTTTTTTAGACTGTTTTTCCATAGCTGTATAAATAGCTTTTGAATGTGATCTAATAGGCAAAAACCTCAAGTTCCCCAAAAGGGGGAACTTAAAATTTGTTGTAATTTTGATTTGTTCTCATCTAAACGAATAGATAAGATTCTTTATAACAAAATAGGTTACCAAAGAAATGCACTTTTATGCTGTGACAAAAAGATTTTTCTTTTTTAAAAAATCCGATTTGCACAAACAAGGGACCTTTTGCCCTTTAAAGTCCTAAATCCCACTGAGTGCAGATAACCTGGCCATGATTATTATTCTACATAGAGAATATTACTTCTCCAAGAAGAGAAATGTATGTTTAGACAGGAGACTAGCAATCTCTTTTTGCACAATGTAACCTCACAGCTGCATGTACCCCTTCCCTAAAGTAATCTTATAGTCTCACATACAAATCTTATAGTCTCACATACGATTACCAAAAGTCTACACCAGAACATGAACATCTCACCAGGGGATCAGTAATCCCACATAAATACAACATTTTCTATGAGATCATTCGACTCTGATGCATTTTTAATCATCTCTAAAGATTTGGGTAAAAAATGTTTTGTTGTATTTTAGAGCGGGCAAGATGTTTATGAATGTCTTACTCTACTGCTCTCACTTAAGATTCTTTAAATCACAGGTTTGCTTCAACACTGGAGACATTACCCCCTTCGGATACATTCAAGTTTATTATCCAATAATCAATCCTTAAAACATGTCATTTTATGCTTAATTATAAAGAAAGGTTGTCATTGTCCCATAACTGAAGATACTAGCCCAGGGGGTCAGCAACCTGTGGCTCTGGAGCCTCATGTGGCTCTTTCATCCCTCTGCTCTGGCTCCCTGTTACTGGTCGGCTCCACAATTGATAGGGCTTTCGGTTAGGACAGGTAGAGGAAAAAGGACGCTGTGCTAGGAGGAGACTCTTTGGTGGGGGGAGTAGACTTCCGGGCAGCAGAAGAAAAAGAATGCCACACTAGGAGTCGTCTCTATGGTGGGGGAACTGGACTTCCGGTCGGCTCCAGAATTAAATGGGGGGCTTCCGGTTAGGACCTTTGTGGCTCTTTGAGTGTTTAAGGTTGCTGACCCCTGTACTAGCCCAAGGGAGGTAATAGTTTTCTTGCACTCTCTAAAGTTTATTAGAACATCATAGGAATAAAGAAATTGACCGAGTATGGGAGAATAGAAGATTCCCATACAGTAGGCTGAAAGTCTGCTCAGACTGAATCTAGGTAGGGCAAAGATGACAGTATATAGTAGTCTTCTCTGTGGCTAACATGGCATGATATTTTGACAATATCAAAGCCAATGGATTTAGGAATCTTTAAGAATCTGCCAAGGTCCTTTCCTGTCTCCATTATGATGTCACACAAAATGTAGTTTAGAATGTATGACTGGGACTAGTGTTTAGCTTTGAATTAGGAAGAATGTAAGTCATTGACAAATAGTCCATGTTTTTCAGCTGTCCTCACCATTATTATGATCTGGTGTCTTCCAGATATGTAGTTGGAGGAAAGGGAAGAAGAAATGCCAGAGATGCCAGCATCCACAACCTGTTTCTATACACTGTTGCAACTGAAGGCACTATTTCTCACTATTCTGGGGTGGAAATAAATTTTTAAGCTTAACCATCACAATGAAATTCCAAGGAAACTCCTGCAAAATCCATTACCCAAACCCACCCCTTCAAATACGGCACATGGTTTCACCCACTTTGCAATACTGTAGTGTTTGTACCTCTCTCCAATATGTTTAGTCTAGCACTTGTGCACTCAGAGGTAGTTTGTTTTGTAAGAGAATGCTGATTTAACTATCAAAGTGGTTTTGAAGACAGAGAAAATTACCCTTTTAATGCCACACCCGAAAGCTAAGAACTTATAGACTAAAAAAAGAAGAAGCCATATTCAGTTTCTCAAGGGATCATGGCTGAACTGAAAGGTAACAGCACCTTCTCTCTCAGGTAAACAAAATATGGATGAGATGCAACAAATGGCATTCTGAAATTCTTAGGACAAATGGTAGAAATACCAGGTGGGTGTTCATTTTTCTCTCATACGCTCAATTTTAAGGCCATTTCAGAAAACAGCAAGGCCATTTGTTATTTGCCTTTACTTCTGAAGCCCATCTTAAGATCAGAGAAAGGTCCTAATTCCAGCTACCCGGAAGAAACAAATCTGCCACCTGAACTTGGCAGCATCACAAGTGTTCATTACCTACTTAATTCCCTACCCACAAAGAAAGCCAAGGACTGTCCAGTAAACCTCTCCTTGCCCCATTTTCGTCCTTCACTGCTTAACAGCATAGCTGGATGACAGCCTCTGAAAGCTGATCTTGTCTGATCTCAAAGGGGAAAAAAGTTAAGCAGAATCAGACCAGAGCTGTAGGCTGAAGAAGGGGGGAAAAATCCTAGAATATATCGTTGCCAAGAAGAAAAAAAAAACGATGCTTGTGTGTCATGAAGCCACTGGCAGTTTAGTAGGACTGAAAGGAGGCTTAACTTTTATCCACCTATCGGCTTGTTCTCGGAACAGGGAAGTGGGATCTCAATAATAATAATAATAATAAAATCTCCTTTTGGATGTGCAGAAGCTGATCTACCGATTGTGTAAGTCAAACGCTGCTTTGGTCGGAATCTCAACGATACGGGATTGATCGCGACTATCGAATATTTGACTCTTCGCTCGCCGCTGGAACTACTGGCCGGAGCAGCATTTATTTCCGAGCGAAATTGCAAAAAGAGAAGACCGCGGAAAGACCCCCGAGCATTGCAAAGGATGCCCTTTAGGCAGCGGGCACCACCTCGAAACGTTTCTTGTTTTTTGGGGGGTTTTTTTGCCTGCCGCCACCCGGGAGCAAACCCACGACTACAGGAAAGCGGAGAGAGCGGGACCGACTCCTGACGCCACGATGTGAGTTTGCTTTCGTGCAAAAAGGCTGCTGCGCACGTTAAGAACTATTTATCTCTCTCCCCCCCCCCGGCCCCCACCCCCCACCCCCCCCCCACACTTGTCCACCCTTCTCTCACGGCGCGGCGCTTTCCAAGCTCCTACAACCACTACTCCTTTGCAAACTCGTCAGCTCTTTCCCCCAAAGGACGCCCTTTGCAGACGCAGCTCTGGGGATTGGAACCGCCCTTCCCTCCCCTCCCCTCCCTCCCCACCACCACCGCGTCCCCGTTTGGGGTGAACCGTGGAGACCCTCCCACTCACACCCCCTCCCCCCGCCCGTGGAAAAAACGGCGGCCTCGCGTGCAAGAAGCTGAGGCGCCATCCCCCTTCCTCCTCCTCCTCTTTCCTCCTCCTCCTCTCCTCAGGCGTTGTCCGGGGACGCTTCCCGAAACTGAACGAAGAGGGCAGGAGCGGGCGCTTTTACCTGCCCGCCTTTCAGCTCGAGCGCGGGCTGTCGAGGAAGTCACCTGCTCCCCAAGCTCCTCCCCCTCCTTTGGCAGCCCAACCCAGCGTTTGGAGGTGGGGGGGGGAAGGGACAAGCGGGCAAAGGAGAGAAGAGCGGCGAGTCGCCCTCTGGCATATAGACGGACGTTTTTTCCCCCCCGCTGGCAAGGCTTGCGCCGGCTCTTCTCCCACTCCGCTCCGTCCTCCCTCCCTCCACGCCGCGCGCCTTGGCGAGGTGTGGGGGGGGAGAAAAAGGAGCGCGAGAAGAAGTCATGCACCCATTAATGAACTCCGCGCGCGGGAGTTGCAGCGAGCGGGGCGGGGGGGAAGCCGGCCCGGCTGGCGTTCCTCCAAGCACCCCCTCCCACGTTTCTCTTCTTCACCGCCGGTTCTGGTCCCTGGGAATGACTGAATGAATGAATCATGAGGTGGCGGCTGCTGCTGCTGCCGCTGGTGGTGGTGTGAGGCGTTTATCTGGGGCAGACGGTACCGCAGCCTTCAGCCTTCTTCGCACGGTGGGGTGAAGCGGGCGAGAGAGCGCGAGAGCGACCTGCTTTTTCTCTCCACACCACCCCCTCCTCCCTCTCCAGCCGGCTCCGGGACCTGCCGCCGACCCCAATTTCCAGCCTTACCCGCCAACCCCCCTTTGGGTCCTGCAGCAAAAGAACCGCGGCTTTCCATGGCTCCTGAAGAGGTAACCCAATAACAAAAACCCCTGCGAAGTGATTTTGTTTTGGCTAGCCGAGCCACTTTCTCTCTTCCGGGAGAAAGCAAAAAAAGAAAAAAGAAAAGCTTGGGGTGTTAAAATTAGGGGGCTTTGGGGGTTTAAGGATACTCGTCCTGGGGTGCCGGTATCCGGCCTGAATTGCTTTTGAACGCTGTTAGGTCTTGGGAAGTGAAGTCCACGTGTAAATCTGGTGCGCGTCTGAATGTTGTGTCACTGAAGTTCCTCGGCGGCTCAAAGCTCCCCTTCGCCTCTCCTGCCAAAGACCTGAGTTGGAACTCCTCTCAGCGGATGCTTCAGGAAAACATTTGTGACTTTTAAAAAAATTAAAATAAGAGGCCGTTGGGGAGAGGGAGACCTGTGAAATATTAAATGCGGCTAATGCATTGATTTCGTTTTTCTTAACCCCCCAAAAACGAACACTTGCGGATTAATTTGCCTACTTTGAAGGGAGACAGCAGTGCCAAATTCACTTTTCTTCCCATTCCCCTTTTTGCCTTAGAGAAAAAGGTTTGGGGGATCTTTTCTGAAATAACAAGCAGAGCCCATAGAAGCTTGATTCCAAAAATCTTGCATTTGTTTTCTGTCAGTTTGATGGTTTTCATAGCCTTGGAAGTACTTACTGTATCTTAAAATATTATTCTATTTTTTTAAAATTTCAACTGTTCATACCTGAACAGGGTATGAACAGTTGTCGCTTAACTGGGGGTCACTTAAATTGTCATCAGCTGGAAGATCACTAATTTAATTTTACAGTGAGTGGCAGTTGTTGATTGCATGGGGGGGGGGTGGCTGCCTTTTGAAATAATGCAGTTCTTGTGGCGTCATTTTTTTACAAGCCAACTGGCCCTGGATCAGACTTGACTAGTAGTCACATGTCCTGATCTGGAAGATTGGCTGGTACCACTGATTACTTGTATATCTGAGAGAAAGAAACTCTGCATGTGTTTAGATGTGCTCTCGGCTTGTTGCTTCAAATTGTTCCAGGGATGAGTCCATCATTATACAGATTCTGTAACTGAGCAAGGTCCATATGAACCCCCCAATACTCATTACACTAGCCAATATTACATAAATGCTTAAACCAACATTTGTTTAATCTTAAAATAAAGATTGGTCACCACTATTTGGTTCATACGTGCTTTTAACCTTAACCTTTCTAGAAAGTATAATGACTAACAACTTGAGGTAAATTTAGAAATACTTAATAGAGCTATATGGTTTGACCTAATATCTCAATCCTACAAATACAGTACTAGGTCACATTCCTTAATGCATGTTTAAAATCATTTTTGATAGTTTAGTTTGTAGTGGGGCTAAAATTACTGTAATTGATTTCATCTTCTTTGTGTGGACACTAAGAATAGCTGAACTTTTTTTTAAAAAATCTAGCTTTCTGACTTCGTCATTTATAAAAACCCGGTGTTGTAATATGCAAATATTGAGAAAGGGAGAAATGAATGGAATTAAAAATCAGCCAAGATACATTTTAAAAGAATAATCTATTTAACTGAGCAATCTGCATTGTAGTAGGATCAGATAGGATCTGATAGATTTGGAAGTGCTTTTTTTAAATCAGTCAGTGAGGGTACTTGAATCCTGAACAGGAACTACACTAACAATAATTCCCTCTTCCTTTAAATGAACCTGTTGCAATGAACAGTGCTTGGTGAAAATCGTCAATCAGAACTATCATTCTGCAGCTAATTCTTGGATTTTAGAATCCAGGAAAACAGATCCCACAAAATCTGAAATGCCTCAAAGTAATTTAAAGCCTTTAAATAATTTGTTGTTTAAAGTTGTCTAAAACGAATATTGTTCAAGTTATTTGTCTAATGTGCAATGACTACTATTTATTTGGTGACTAAAAGTTCTCTCCTTGTGTTATGAAATCAACTATCAATGAGAAGCAAAGGTAGCAGTTCTTTGTGGGACAGAAAAACCATCCTATCACGTTAAGTTAAAAAAATATGATATATTACTTTATGTTGCAGTCATTTATCATTCTTGAAAGAGAACCATAAAGTATTAATCTGTTTAAAATTTACCAGACTGTGCTTATGTAATTGTTCCTAATTTCAGGAAGCTGTTCACATTTAGAAGACTAGTGCTATAACCAGCTGCACTTGCTTTTTTAATTCTGTGAACCATATCATTAGAAAACATAGAAAGGATTTAAATGGATTCGGTGTTTATTGTGCTGTGACAAACCCTCCATTTAATTTGTGGCTGCCTAGCAGCAGCATCCTAACCAACCTTAACTGATCTTAAGCAGCTAAATAGGGCCAGATCTGATTAGAACTTTCATGAAAGATTAATAGTTGCATCTGAAGGCTGTAGGCTAAACTGGGAAGTTGAAGAAAACATTTCAAAATAAGGCAATGGCAAACCACTTAAATGTTGTTCACGAGGAAACTACACAGACCTGTTCGTGAAATTGCTGAGTCAAGCTTGACTCAAACAGACAGTCTTTTAGATAGCTCCAGCTAGAAAGGCATGTGTAGTTTGCTGGTGGTTCCTATGTTGCCATTGATGATAATAGCAAAATATACCATCTCCCATGAAAAAAATCCCAGAACCTATAAAGTACTCTACTTGTGGTTGTTGTGTTGTTGATTGAATTGAGACTGGACAGCCAGGTCTTCCTGCTTGACCAGGGGTTAGACTAGATGACCTCTGTCCCTTCAGTTCTGTGATTCTGTTTCTGTTCTGAATTAAAATTCACCTAAGACTTATTTCAAAGGGGCAAATGGCAACTCTGTTCTTCTCCCCAACCCACTCCCACCACCATTTTTTTTTTCTTGTTTGAATTCTTACATGTTAATTTCCGGTTGTGACTCTCTTGCTCTCCAGAAGCGTTGCTGAATTCCTGATAGCCTTTTAATGTAATCCAAACAGTATGACACTCTTACTGTTTTCTTCCGGACTCTATGGCAGAATAGGAATTGTGCAGATAAGGATCTGCTATAGCTAATATTAAGTCTAGCAGTAAGAAAACTTGTAATTTGGTTCTGTGTACTTTTACCGATTTCCCAGTTTGTAGGTTACTTTACAATGAATCCATCTAATAAAAGAGTACACAATTCCCCCGATTCCAGGCTTTGAACAATCATGCCATTAGAATATTGGTTTACTCCAGGTTTTTATGTACTTTGCTCTGATTCATGCCCATAAAAATCTATCATAGGAAATGAGGGTTATTAACTTCATAGTTATGTGTTTAATTCTACTACTAGAAAGGAAGTTTTGAAGATGGACTTTCTCTGTAATTGGAGCCTGTAACAGTGTTAATGCCTTCTTTACTAGCATTCTAAGGTGTTACTAGTAATAGTTGGTTGCTATAGTTTTGTTATTTGCTTTTTAGATCCTAAAAAATTAGCATTAGTATAACCCAGATAACACAATTTGATTTAAAACTGAGAAACCTGTTTTAGACGTCTGTTAAACCCTCTATATGGAACCTATGTCACAGTGTTCCCTCAGTATATAAGGAATGATCTAACACAATTAGTCTAAAGGTTTTAGTCCAACATCTGAATATGCCAATCAGTGTATTTCCAGGGAAACATTTTTGTTGTAAAGTTTGATGTGTACTATTAATAAACACTCAACTTCATTTCACAATAATTCAGAGCACATGAGATATAATAGGCATGAGATTTATGGTTTGTCAGTTTTAATGATGTGTCTTGTTTGGCATTATTGCATTTCACACTTTTAATGAGTCAGAAATTTATTGCAAAGGCACATCCTTTATGTTCATAAAGTATGAGGCAGATCCCTCATCAAGGGC